GATGTGTGAAGGAAAATGGATCAGGAGACTGTGCCTTTTTGACCTTTTTGAAATGCGATCAGCTGAGCGCAGAGTAGGATATAGGATAAACGTTTGATAAAAGAATCGCCCAACGTGGCATGTAACGGACTGAACAGGTGGAATCATTAGTCTGGATCAGATCCCAGAAGGTTTTTATGATGATTCTTTTAAAATGTGGCCATGTTCTTTCTGAGCAGAGTTGACTCAGTGGCTTCCAGGAACAGGAGTGTAATGTTGTTTCAGGGTGTCTACCAGAAGGTCTTCCTTTTAGTCATATGATACCATGCACTGACTTCTTATAGTCATGTAGTTCGTTGTAGCTAAGTTGTTTAGTTCTATTTTGGTTTCTTCTTAATAGAAAGTGTGAGGAAAACAAGAACAGATACCACCCCCCACCCCACGTCCCTCCCCTGCCTTGTCCCAGCAAAAGGGTAGGTGTGAGGATTGCTCCAGGGTGGTCTGTCAGAGTGGTAATAAAGCTGACTTTGGAAACCCACAAAAGGAACTTAATTCTTTCCACCGCCTTTCCCTATTATGGCAGAATTCTTAATTTCTTTCTAACCGGAAATTTTCTCCCTAAAACTAATGTTACCTCCAGGTTGTGAAAATCTTGCATGAATTACTGGGTTGAGCAATGCAAGGAGGGATGAGAAAAAGGGTTGTTGGAGCCTGTGTCAGAGAAGGAGAAGAAAACCCTTAGTGGCTCATCTAGTTAAGCTCATGCAAGGGTTTTGCATTGCAATTATTGCTACTGTATTTCATCCAGAAAATAGAGAAGAATGGATTTACAGTGAAAACATCGGATTGGGACTCACACCTCCTGAGTTTTATTTTCTGACTGTCAGAGGTTCGGTTCTGACTTTGGAGCACTTCTCATATCTGTAGGACTCAATTCTTCCTCATCTGTAAGATATGGGTAACAGTACTCCTCTACTTCAGAGTGGTCATAAGAGGAACAGTATTTTGATGTACATGAGGTCCTTATATTAAACAATAATAGGTAGTATAAAAGGACCTAAATAAACAGTCAAGTATTAAAAGTTCTTGGGCAAAGGAGCTTTTTATACAATATGCGAGGTGCAGGCACCAGGAGATGTTTGTGACAACCCATTTTATTCTCTGACTTGTTCTGATTCTGTGTTTGACTACAATTTACAGAGGCTGAGTGATCCCTGAAAGTTGAGTGGCAGCAGTGACAATCACAAAAGAGGGTGAGCAAGAACCTTTGAGTGCAAAACAATCATGGGTGCTGGATTATTCAAATCAACACCCTGAAGCCTGAAAAGGAAATTTTAAGGCTTTGTGAAAATTATGACTAATTCTTTGCAATGGCTGTGGTGCTGTAGAGGTATGAAATGGGTGGTTGGGGGAAGGGAATAGGTTTGCATTCTGTAGGGCTATGAAGACAGCTTCCTTGCATCCTCCTCAGCTCAGTCCTTGCTCAGTACCCTCTGCGGTTAGATTATTCCTTGCAGATAGCAATCAACTGGAAGGAAGTGTGTGTCTAATTTGCATGAGATTATTTAAAACAAAAAAAAAGGTCTGCATTAGTCAGGGTGATGGTAAACAACGCAAAGAGATGCCTTTTATAATATAGCCGTGGCTCAGCTTTCAAAGCCAAATATAATTCACTTACAATTGGCAGTTTCCTTTATTGTTCCTTTTAACCTTTTGCATTCCGCATGGTCTTGATCGTGCTGAAACTCCAGAAGAACTAAAATGTTAGTTTTCCAAAGTGTTGAGAAAGTGGATTTAGAGCAATTTTTCTGTTAAACTGAGGTGGTTTTCTTGACATACCTATTTGAGAGTTATATTAGACACAAAGCTCCAATTTTCGTGGCACTGGTTTTGCATCAAAGGGAAGTGGTATTATTTTTTGTTTACCAGCTTCCTGCTAGATTAGAACGATGAATGGACCATGGATACTTTTTTATGTAATGCAGTGATAGAAGGACAGTGATAAAATAAAGCAAGGTGAGATATCGGAACAGGTAACATTTTGATCTGGCCACTTTTCTACATAATATATCGAGGCTAAATAATTTGGGGCATGGAAAACTCATACCGTGTGCGTACATGTGTGTAGATGGTGAATTGGAAAAAAAATCAGTCCAAAGGGAATTTTGATGAGTTGGTTTATAGTTGCCTAAGGACAGTCTTAGAATATCTTGTACGTTTTTGTTAGTGTGTGTGAGAAATGACAACCATGAAGACAGGTATATTTCTGAATCCACAGGTGACTAGTTGCAGTGCTGACTTACTCCATATATATGCTTAAGGAGTCAGCTCTGGGAGGTTATTCCTTTGATGCTTGGAGGCCAAGATGACAGGGCCTTAAAAACATCTTATTCAGATGAATAAAAAGGAGATGTTTCAAGGAGATGGTGCTCCAAGTCTTCTCCTCTGATAATTAAGAAGGGATGTAGTTGTGATGTTCTTTTGTATAATGCCACTGGTACCATGAACAAGACCCCTTCACAAAGTGGCAGAATAGTTCAAGGAAGTAATAATTTTAATTGCTTTACTTTGCACAGGATTCCAACCAGGAACTCAAATGTGAAAGGTTTCCCATCGTTCTATCATTCACGTCAGCTTTTTCCTCACAGCACAGCAGACTTTTAATGGAAACAGTGATACTTGAGTGTCCTGTTTGGCAACATCAGAATAATCCTAGAAGTACATTTTATCTGCAAAAGATTTTAGTTTTTTTTCTCAAACATTGAATAGAATAAGAATAGAAGGGGCAGTATGGTTAGGAAACATTGCATTGTTTCCTGCTCTTCTTGTAGAATAAAGTAAGGATCTTCTAACTTCCGTACGTTTCTAAGTGTTAAAGACTATCAGATTTGCTATCTTTGCATGGAAATAGAACAAAAGGTGCAATTCTAGTGGGAGCCACGTTTGCAGCCAGAAGCTAATGTTGTTTCCATCTTTATGAAATCCCATAGTTGCTAGTGATCTGCAATGTTGACATCTGTTTGTGCTTTCTCCTTCATTGGATAAGTAGGAGCTGGTTAAAAGAGTTTCCTTCTGATTAGGACTTCACTTTTTAACATGGATTAGACGCCATAAATATTGCTTTTGTGCCTAGAACAGTAGGCTGAGTTGTGTCCATGTGCCTTTTATTACTCTCACTGCAAGTCTTGTTCCATATTGTTATGTGTGGTTTTGGTTCCTTACTCTTTGAGCCATGCATCAAATACAAGTAAAGGAGTGATTTTGTCAGAGATGGGGAACTTCTCCCTTCTGATACTGTTTCTGACACTGACAACATTCTGCTATGTTACAGAAATCACCTAACTTCTCTGTGCACCAGTATCTGCGCTGCAGAGTAGGTAGAATGGTCTCTCACAGGAACTCCCAGTATCTCGCACACTCACAGGAACAGGGAAAAGATCTGTTAATAGTTATAAAGCCTTCTCCATACCAGAAGCACTGTGTTAGTGCTTTATGATGATATTAAATAACAGTTCGGAGACAGGCTTGTGTCTTTGTTTCTGGCAATATTGTTTGTGCTGTAGATTGTTCTGTCTAGATCCCCAGTATGCAGTGAAGTTTAAGATTCTGAAAAAATGTCTCGAAATTTAGGTAATACACCCAGAAGCCTGGCCATTTTCTGTATTGTATCTCCCTGTCATGTTAAAAAGCTAAGTGTTTTAAAGGATTAAGTTCAGGAATTTCATCTAATGGCAGTACTTCATGGATCTCGAATGGAGATGATGGAGCGAAAGTATTCCCCCATTTTTCTCCCACTGCTGTCATATTCATACCATTTTCCTCACCGTGCTCAGTCTCTACAACTGCTATGCAAGAATCAAGTGGCCTGTCTCTTCTCTTCTAAATCTCTTTCCTTAAATTTATACTCTCACTTCCAGCCATTCTGAATGCTTTTTGCATACACGCTGCATGTGTAGTAAAAGGTCCTGAATCACTTCCCACGTTCCCCGTAGCAGGAACACTGGCTTTTCTGTCTGCTTCTGTGCAGGAGAATAACGTAACAAGTAATACACAGCTGCCCAGGCCCCACATCATGGTTGCCATCTGAGTACTAAATTCTTTTTCTAGAGGATGTTTGCTCCTGTTTGAAAAAATAATCCAGCTGTGCTTTCTTCTTGACAGATGCTGGTCATTGTGAATCCTTTAGCTACTTTTCTTTTCCCCCTTGTTGGCCAAATCCTTTCCATATGTTGTGGCCAATTACAGATGGTCACCCTGGCATTTCCTGGTGGCAGGAGTGACTGCACCAACGTGTACCATGTGTGCAGTGTTACTACAGCTCTGCGTGAAATAAAAACCAGGCTGCCCCAGGGCAATCTAATCATGCAGCAGTAGGCCAGGGCAATGCTAAGCTGAAAGTTTGGGCTTGGCCTTGTTTTGATCTGTTTTGTTATAGTTTTATTTCCTCCTTACATTCTGTGTCCCATTCATACTAATCACAGTCAGTCCTGATTTTTTCTTTTTATTTCTGCATTTGTCATAAAATAAAGCAAATTATTCCCGTCTTCGGAAACGATCTAGACTAATTAGTCGTCTAACCCAATAATTAGTTTTTTGTTTCCCTGTCTGTTTTCATGCATTATTGTTAGTTTTTTCCCCTCTTTTTTTTTTTTACACCATTACAGATTAAAATGAGCCACATTTGCAGTTGATGGTATCTTTTTTTCGGGGGAAGAATGGAGAATTGCAATAGAAAGCTACTTCAAAAGCAGCAATAAACTCAAGGATAAATTAAGGAAATTGAATGAGCCACATTTGGAAGCAGCGTTGAGGCTAATATTCTGTCGCTTAAGGTTAAATTGCAACAGAGAAAGAGAGAGGGAGACATTCCAGTGAATCCAAAATTGGGGAGGCATTACTGCTCAAGTCAGTGCCAAAATTCTTTGCAGCTTGAAAGGGTTCTGCCGGGCTTGAGAATTTAATTATGCGTGCATCAAGTGGGTAAAGGTGCTAAACTGATTTCATTTCCTCTGCTCCCCCAGGCCTGACAGATGAAGAAATTGACCTGGCTTTCCAGCAGTCGGGCACAAGCACGGATGAGCCACAGTCCCCAGGTCCTTCTACACCGCTGGTGCCAACTCAGCCCTCTCACCCTGTGGTGTATAGTAAGTAGCATTTTGAAAGACATCTGGTCCTGTTGCTTTCTGCAGTGATTTCTGCAGCAATTTCACAGATTTCTGTGCCAGATCCTGGATTTCAGTTCAACTAATGGCATACTTTTTGTCAGAGTTGGACACCAAATGTTGCTTTGAATGCATTTCATAGTTGTTGATGCCTGTAACGAGATTATATTACACAAGGAAAATGAGAGACAAATGATCATCGTCTGCAAACAAACATCATACATATTAGCCTGTGACACCTCTTGACCTGAAGGCATATAGTCAATACAAACTAGACTCTGACCCACTGTAAGGACTTGAAAAAAGCATTAGTCAACGTAGGACTCGGTCTTCTAAAACTTCAGGTCATGCTTCCCTTCACCAGTAGGGTTTTCTAGTATTTATATTGTTAAGATATGATAGAGCTGATAGATTCTGGGATAGAAGGTGCTGTAGAAGTGCAACACTGTTACATCTTTAATTTTTGCACCAGTGGACTCTGTTGAATTAACTGTTGGACATCATGACAAAGTCTTGAATTTTAGTTAGAGGACTTATTTTCTTAACTAGTCAAGCAACTGATCAGTTTATAGAATCATGGAATATCTTGAGTTGGAAGGGACCCATGAGGATCATCGAGTCCAACTCCCCGCTCCTCGCAGGACTACCTAAAACTAAACCATGTGACTAAGAGCATCATCCAGACACTCCTTCAACCCTGACAGTTAATGCCTTGAACAGTTGCGTGAAAGTTCATGTATTTTCAGCATGAACAGCAAGCTAGAAAATAAGGTCTTCGGGACTTAGCCTGTGACTTCCTGTGCGTGAGTTTAGGGTCTGGCACAATGGACCCCCAGTGTGAATGAGTTTTAAGAGTGTTATCAGGTTACAAATGATAATAAACAGTTAATAAGGATCCTTAATTTTAACAAGCTTTCTCTCTTCAATCTTGAATAATCTGAGGGGTGACAACAGAAATTCTGTGTAGACTCTGTGGATGTGATTGTATGGTTTTGTGTACAAAATACACTCTCAAAGAATTCTTAAAGTCCCAACATAATCTGTGTAGACTCAAAATTTACATATATATTTGCATTTTAAAACAAACCTCGCAAAAAAGTATCTAAGCTCCAAACAATAAAAACCGAAGTACACACCATTAAAAAATCCATCAAAAGAAGCTGTTCAGCTCACGTGTGTGTCTAGCAGTTTGAAAAGCTCTTCACTTACCTGCCAAGTATTAAGAATAGAATTTTGACTCTGCTCTTAAACAGCTCTAGGTCAGATATTGACCACTGTAACAGTCCACTTAGGGCTGTGTTTATTAGTTTATGACACAGTTTTGCGATGGCTAGAGACAATACTAGACTTGCTTTCTGAGTTTCTAAATACTCTGGTTTGGCACAGTTTGGGAAGAAAACCATTTCTGATGGAGTTGGGCTCAGAACTGGAGTATTGGCTGTGCTAGTGAACTCTGAGACTGAATTCTGCCTCCTGGGCTCATACCTGTCTGCAGTAGTTCACAGAAAATGCCAGAAAAGCAAAATCTCTCTTGCTGAAGAAACAGTGCCAGATCCCTCTTAGTGCTCTCCGTTGCTCATTCAGCGAACTCTTATCACGACCCAGTTAATCTTCCCTTATTTTATAGTGTTCCACTAACATGAGTCAGGTAGGAAAGAAGTATTCTATTCAAACTGGAAAACATTGTCATCTTTACTAACCCTTGCAGCTTTATCACTGTTTGTTTTTTTTTCCTTTTACTATTTTGGCTTTCCTCGAAGCACCAGCTCCCAATTTCTTCTTACTAGGTAAGAATCTTAACAAATATTTAAACATTAAAACGTTCCTAGTAACAACTCCAAAGAGAAATCTGAAAGTGTTATTCTGTAATGCTCAGAAACCAAAAGTGAAAAAAAAAATACCACCAAAGTAAGCTTTTGTAGGAGTTGCAATTATAAACTGATGCTCTAGCTTTATGATCTGATTGGTGCTTTTTAAATAATTTGAACCAAAAAGCTTTTTTGCCAGTGGGCCAGTCTTTTTTAGCAACCCCTAAAATTGGTGAAATGGTAACAATAGGTTCATGAGGTATTGTTCCTCCCCTCTCTAGCCATTCTTTGTAGACCTTCTATTTAGGCTTAACTAAATATACAGAGTATTCATTTGACCAAAACATTTGTTTTGATTAGGTGTCATCTGTGCTCCGTTCCAGTCCTGGACTGGTGTAATACTGGTGTTGTTAATGATGGATCCATCTTTATCCATCTTCCTGTTAAGTGCTTTCCATAGTATCAGAACTACAAAAAGAATATGTGAATTTCTCTAGAGCTGGTGGATGGCACTGTGCCGTGGCTCAGTGCTTTTTCAAGATGTCTTGTTTGCTCTAGGTTATTTCATCAGTTGGATGCTAATCCTGTAATGAATATTTCTGAATTGGTCCAAATCTGCTCCAGGACAGTTGTTTCTGTGACAGTTACTAAGTCAATTTATCTTTCACAGGTTTGTCAGGGTTTGTCGTGTACAGAGAAAGATAGATACTACTTCTGTCTATCTGTTATGCTTATCTTCTTACAGAGTATTCCTGACACTAGTGCTGGAATGCTTCAAGGTTTGAAGTTCAAAAGTATTTCCAAAGGACTAATGAGATAGGTAAACTGCTGAATCTGTAGTTGACTTGTTGATGGGAACAACTCATATTGGAAGAGCTTTTATTGAAAAAGTTTATGAGCTGTGTTTGCCTTCCCCAAAGAAGACATCTGAGTTTCTTGTGAAGCAGCATCTGATCTGCTGGAGTTTAGGCCTTTAAGACTGTGAACCACTTTGTGTTTGATATTTTTGGTTCTTTTTAAGTTTTTTTTTGAGTAGTTTTAACACCTCTAGACAAAATCACAGAACTAGAGAGAAAGAATTACCCCCCACAGAGCAAAAAGGAGACACAGTTGAGGAGGGTATTGTGCTGAAAAGCAGTAGCTACCATCTTAAGAAACCTAATTTCTCTCTGTCCCCCTTCCCCACATGGTGTTACTGCTTCACGTTTTAAAATTACATTAAAACTGTGGGTTATGAGTACAGAAGTTCAGGATGGCTTCAGAACCATCTCAAGAGTTCATTCAGCAGTTAATGGAGCAAACAGCCGCGTTGGTGGTCTTGCCAGCAGCTCCAGTGTAAGATGTCCACTCTTGTGAGTCCCAGTGTAGGCATTGCTTAATGTTCTAATGTTTTGTTGGAAATAGCTGTTACCTGTGTAAGAACTTTCTTATTCTTTAAGAGTTAATGAGAAAGAAGCGTATTTTTAAGCCTTCAGAGTAGCATAGTACTTCTATGTTGAACTCCTCTTGGGTTTGGTTTAAGAAAAACAGTGATAACTTTTGGGAGGAAGAGACCAGAATTAAGTTAAGTTTCTAGACACTGTATTTTAGCTCAATACCATCTCTTCTATTTCTTCTCCTGTTCTGGAGGAGTAATTCCTTCCTTCCAGTTTGTACTTTTGCCAAGAGGTGTCAAAACTGCTTAAAAAAAAAAAGCTTTAAAAAAGCTTGAATTTGATTAATATAGAGAAACAAGACTTTGCCTGACTGATAATAAAACTGATAAATGACATTTGAATTACTTGTAGCAGTAATTTATTACATAAAATATCTTTTATTTGACATGCGATTAGTTGCTGGAAGCATCACTCAATCTGACTAGTTTAAACATGCTCTAAAATGAACCCCCAGTAAAAAACCCGGGCTGTCTGCTGTTGGCGTTATGAAATATTCTAACCCAGCAGTGAGGACAAAAATCTGACTTTAAATATTTAAATGATTAATTGGGTTTGTTGTGGTTTGTTTTTTTTTTTTTTTACCTTTCTAACCCCTATAATTACAAGCAAACTCAGGGGAGTTTCTGAGCTAGGTGTGCAAAGCTGCACACTTATCATCCAGGTATTGTCTGTGTTCTTCCCCATGGTATTTATGGTCTCCATTTATGAGGTTTTGTGCAGATTTTACACCTGCTTAAAAGTCATCTCCAGTGACTATTTTTCTTGCCATTTGGATCTTCTTCTCCCACCCCTGTGTCTTCATTATGTGGGAGGCTGTAGAATACAGACTGTTTTCTCTTACAATTAAAAATGGTAACTAGAATCCAACTCTTTTTTTTTTTTTTTTTCTCCCCAAGTCCTTTCTGTGGGTTCACTCTTCGCTCTTGGAAAATCACCTCTTCCAGCCTCGGTTTCTACAGTTTTAAACGTGGATACTAGTGAGGCTGACCTTACTTGGATGCACAAGGCCTAATTAATTGATGTCAGGAAAGTTAATTCTGAGATGAATAGGGATCTTAAAAATATTGTTTACTCTGGAATGGCAAGTTACAGTTGCTGCTGTGAAAATTAAATATACTTACAGAAAACATGGACTTGGAGCTGGAGGAAGTTTCTGCGTCCCTTCCATTTACCTTTTGAGGATCTCTTATGTAGAATTGCTTGTTACTTCCCCAGTATGTAGTGTGTGTCTTTCAGGAGGATTTCAGTGCCTAAACTGAAGAGTAACTGGGCTATTAGTGCTTTTTGACTTTCTCTGAATTTTGTTCCAGTTCTACAAGGGGGGGAATTGAGGATATGCAAAGAAGTCAGTGAGAGCACTGAGGTTATATGAGAAACTTCTAACCTTCTCTCCACCCCACGATTTAGATTAGAGTATGGCCGAGAAAAAGGAAGATTGAATGTGGATTTTAGGCAGAGCTGTGACATTCTTCATAACATTGTAAAGTTGATGTGGTCAATGCAGAGCCTTTACCACGTCCCTCCCTCCCTCACTTTTCCTCACCACCCCCCTCACTTTTCTTTTGCCACAAGACAGAATTATTTCACACATCTCTAAAACGAGTAAAATGGCATTTCAGCTTCTTGTCTTTATAGACTCTCTGAACTTTAGGAAAGATCATTCTGGTCCCTTTTCATTAATAATGAAAACCAGGGGGCAATAAAATGTTCCTAGCTCAAGTATTACAGAACGGCGGGAGAGATGAGTGGGGTGAGAGGGCAGAGCGGACAGGGTCCTACCGGTGCCTCTCCGGTCTACTCGGAGGTCACCGCAGCTGGGAGGTAGTTGGGGACAACCAGTCAAGGGCTGCCATGGACAGGGCACAGTGGGACCGTCAGAGCCTCTGAGATTAATTAACCCTTTACAATAGGCAGCTCAGCCTGGAATGAGTTGCATTGTCATAGAGGGATGTTTTCAGTCGGAGAACTGGACAACCAAGAGACTTCAGATACCAGAAATGACAGTGGGAGCAGAGTAAGGAGGGGAAAGTGGGATGGATGACTGGGGGTTGCAGCAAGATTAGCTAGGGATCATTTTAAATCCTGACATGTACACAGCCAGATACTGCAGCTTAGCTGACGTGTGTTAACTCATTAAGTTAAAAAGTTATGATAATTTGATCATGTGCCTCAGCTCCAAAACTGCAACTGCAGCAACCCAAAATACTGCTGGTGACACTATTCACCAGTTCTGACAGAGCAGCTTTAATTTGTTCAGATTTCTAGCCAGTGCATAATTTGAGGAACTATGTCCTAAAACGTAGCAAGAAGCTTTGAGTGCCAGTATTTCAGAGCCAGTGCCTGTCTGTTGAGCCTGAGGGCTGGGATTAGGAGTACCTCTTGCAATGAAATGCCTGTAGAGGATCTCAGCAACAGGGAAAACAGCAGTAGGTGAGCAGAACAGAAAGGAGAGATGCTTCCAGCCATTTCAGACAGTTAAGCCTCCCTTTGAAAGCCTAAATTGAAACTTTGGAGGACAGAATGCATTTCCGAGACATTGTAGGTCACATGTAGATTTGGATCTGTCTGTTTGGAGACTGCACACCGGCCTCCACCTCATCAGTTCTGCCTACATCCTGCCACTGAACTTTAGGAAAGATCACTCGGCATCCTCTTTATTATTAAAGAAAACCGGGGGCAGTACAGGATTCGTTAAGGGAACTGCGAGGGAGGTGAAAGGATAAAGCTGGTGGAAAACTACAGGTATCTCTTGATACTGCTTGAAGGAGCAGAGCACACCATATCTTTGCTTTGCTCTGTAGAGTCTCTAAGCTTCTGTGCAGAATTGTGTGTTAAATATCTCAAGCTTTTATCTACTTCTTTACCTCTCTTTGTAAATATTTAATTGTGTATTTTCTCTCTGCTGTTTATGTGTGCTTTGGTCCCTGTTCGTAATTCCGATTTGAAAGACACTGGATCCTTCCTTATTGAAATGGTCACTCATTGCTGACACAGTGTTCATAAACCAATTTATTGCCCTGGTAGATTTATCTTCTTTCTCAAAACACTTTTCTTTCTTTTTTTCTGCACTTTTCTGGGTCTCTGGCTCTGTCCCCATGTTCAAGAATTACGATAGCAGAGAACAATTGTTATTCAAGTAGTGAGTTAACCTTAGCTGGTACCAACACCACACACAGTTATCTGGGGAAAGCACACCTGGGTTCAGAGTGCCTTCTGCAAGGAAAGAGTAGGGCAAAGCAGCTTGATGGAACTTATTTTAATTGCTGCTATGATTTGTCTCCTTTTGACACTTTGTGCAAGACCAGTGTCAACGCTAGAGATCTGGACAGATGTTTCGGTGTCCTAGGGCCAGAAGCCTGCACACTGTACCTGAGGGACTAACAGCACCTTAATGCCCCCTGCTCAGTAAATCTGTGCCTGCTAAGAAGCAGCAGAACTGGCATTATTCATTGCTCTTTTCTCTGATAAAACGGGTGTATGAAAATACTGTCACCTGCAGTTCTGACTATGATTATTTCTTGATTTTGGCCTTTAGGTCCACCTGGCTCCAGATGGCGAGATTATGGGGCTTTGGCTATCATAATGGCAGGAATTGCCTTTGGATTCCACCAGCTCTACAAGGTAATATCTCCCTTCCTACTCTTATATTGTACTCTTGAAGAGCAATGTTATGCTGCTTGTGTCCAAGCAATCATGTTGATTCCCAGTTGGTGAAGCATCTATGTTCTTACTGACATTGCTATTGGTATATTTGAGAAACGTAGACACTTAACATGAAAATGCAGAGTCAAAAAGTGGCAAGCAAATGAAACTGGTTTTTAGCAGTGGATCCCAAACTGCTAGAAACAAGGTAATTTTCATTGCTTAAATATATATTTGGGAATTTTTTAAGTTGGGCAAACTGACCACAGTTCAGTAAAGGGATTCTCCCAGCATTGGCCAGCAGACATTACCGTCATAGCCGCAGTCTAATGATTTGTCCACTGGTAATCCTGCACCACTGGTAGGAAAGAATCTTTGACCAATCAGAACATTGAAAATAATGTGTTAATTTCCAAGTCTGCCTTACATCCTGTAGTTCTGCTCCAATGTGCTTAGAATAAGGTAAAGCAAGCATGTGTCTGCTTGTGTATTGTAGAGACAGCAACCCCTTGTTATTTCTTGTGCAATGTTTCTCCAATTGCCCGTATTCTTTCACTCTGGATTTGCTTTCCAGCAATGTGGTAAGTGACATTAGATAATGTCTTGGGTAAACAATCATATTCTGTGGCTACATAGAAAGACGTGAAGGGTTCAGGTCAACACGGCAGTGTAAAGAGCTTCGGTCCGGTAGTAGTCATGTTTTATTTTTGAAAAAAGAACAGAAATGAAGATTTAACGAGAGGTTGATGGTTTTCATATTTGTTTGTTCTTAACAATTAGTGCCTTGTTTAGTAAAATCTATTTTAGAAATAAAAGTATTGGCCTTCTAGTTTAAAACTAGTTTTCTTATCCTGCCTTATCATTAATTTTCTGGGTCTCAGGCTGAGAGAGAGAGGCCAGATTAAGCAACGTGTTCCATCTCTGCAAGTAAAGTTACAGGACTTAAGAGAATGCCTTTTTATTGCGATATGTTGTCCCTATGTTTTTATATTGAAGTAGTTATGCCAACCTTATTGATCTTTTCATTTTTGCAAAGAGCAGTGGGGCTGGTAAGTGTCCAGAGAGATGTTAAGACATCAGTTGCTGGGCCATGCAGACCTGAACATATCGCTGTTACTAAATGACACATATCTAACACATATTGATGATTTACATAATTTTTTTGTCATAAGGTCACTGATGCTGTTAATGTATCCTCCTGCTGTGTTCTTCGTTTACAGACGTTGCTCTGCTGTCTCTCCAAACCTCATAAGGCATATTGTGTGCCTAGCAGAGACCCATATTTTTTTATAGGAGTGAGACATCTTTGGAAACAGTTGATAAATTCCCTCTGCCCTTCATAGGATTTTGAGGGAGTTTGCAAATAGTCATTTTTGTATGAAAGAGAGGATGCTAGCATACAACATAGTTGTCCATGTGTGTTCTGTGAAGATTGAGAGAACTGTGTATGAGAGTCATCAAAAACTACTTGCTTTTCAGGATGTCTTGAGTACGTGCCCATGTGCTTTGTGAGGGTAAGAGCACTTTGTGAGTACAGTGACACTGAAATCTTAAACCAGTGTTAACTGTAAAAGAAGGCTGTCCTACACGTATCGGTTTGGATAATCAGCTCTGTCTCAGAAACCATCCTGTTCATATGTCCCTGCAGTGGGTGTGCATGGATCAAAAGCCAGGATGAAAAACAATTGATAGGCACTATCAGGGCTGTTTTCACATCCTAGACCATCCTTCTCTCTCGTTTTTTTTGCCTGATATGTTGTTCTTGCACGTGCCCTTGTTAAAGTACATACTCAGGTCATAGGAGCAGTGCTGCAGGAGGATCCATGGTAGTTAAAGGAGAGTTGTGACCTATTAGATCCAGTCCATCCTCTGCCAGGGCAGAATGAGGTGGATTTCACGGCTGCGTGCAGTGTCCCTGAACTGCCTCCCTTCCTCTTCTAGCTTGGTTCTCGCTTCCTTTAGCCCTGGTTCCTTAGTTCTGTTCCCTGTGCTCCAGATCTCTGCTTTTCCCTCCATGACTTGTAACCCTTCCCCTGCCAAGGTTCAAAAGATTTTATAATACCTCTCATTCCCTGACTTGTTCTTCCACTGACAGGACCTTTCTCCTCCTCTTCCCACTTCTGCATTTCTTGCCTTGCAGATGTAGCTCAGATGTTGCGACACATCAGGCAGTTCACATTCGAGAGTGTAAGATCTGAAATTGTACACTATATGAGACGGGTGTTTCTCCCAGGAAACCTTATTTAGAGTTAGGATCTGTTTTTAGCACCCCCAAAAAGGTAACCATGGAACTCATATCTTCTCTTCTGCAGTTTCTTTTAACATCTGCTGTAGAGGGAATTTCATTTCTCAGCCAGATGTGTGGATAAATGATCACTGGCTCTGTGATAAAGGCTGAGGTTTGGGTGGTGGGCTTTGAGAATGTTTCAGGTGGATTAGAAAGATCACTTTGCATATCCCTATTTCCTAAAAAAGTTCCTGTACTCCATGCAGAAATACCTGCTTCCTCTCATTATGGGAGGCAAAGAAGACAGGAAACAACTTCAGAGGATTGAGTCAAACATTTCTGAGATGAGTGGCAGTGTGACACAGACAGGTAAAGATTAATGACTCCATCAATTCACCCCTCAAAGCCTTTCTCCCTGTATCCTCCATTCTGCCAAGACCCCCACCCTTTTCTTTCCCTCCATCTCCACTTTATGTGGTGACTTCATTTATCTGCTCTGAGAATCTGTTCACATTTGCAAATGAAGCCGCCGTCATTTCGGTTTAATTTGAAATTGCTTGTTTACTGTCGGCGCGGCCTCAATTAATTATGTTTTTACGGAAAGGCTCCCAACCTCAGAATATTAATAAGGGGAATAAAATGACAGCCTTTCGGAGGGCTGTAAAGTTCATTTTTAATTTCTGCTTCTCTGATGTTTTCAGGGGCTTTTTTTTTGGTGTTTTCCCCCCACCTTCCGTCTGAAAATCCGAGGAAGGGTCAGGAGAGTCTGTAATTACTGTGCCTCCCTGACCTTAGCCACCTTCTCTGTTATTGACTCTATAGGGTGTCTGTTCATTACCCAATGCCCTAATGATGGTCTGGATTAGCTGTTACCTGTCACACCAATAGAGTTTTTAATTTTATTTTATTTTATCAGCTTGTTTACTGCCTGGAAGCTTTGAATAAAGTACCAAAGTAGAAGAAGTTCTCTCACAGCTGGAGCTGGAGTCCAGCAGAAGTTCTTCAGTGTTTGCTGGGGTTTAGGAGGGGAATACAGGGTGTTCTTCTGAAATAAAAGGAGAAAAGCGTGAAGTATATTCAGTTGGTGGCATGGAAAAAAGTATGATTTTCAGCAGTAGGTTTGTTAAAGATGTTGAGGTTGAAGGAGCTGGTGGGTTGAGAGTGGGAGGATGCTAATTACACTTTTTAGTGGAGGGTGAGAAGAAAAGTGTCCTTCATTTCTCATGATACCCTAAGGTCAATCCTGAGACCAGCCTCTTCCTGAATTGGAGCTAGCCCCAGCGTTTGCCTGCGTGAGGCCCAAGATAGATAAATGATACAAACATTGTGTAAGTTCAGGGAGATGTACAAATCATAAACCAATATAATTAGAAGGGAGAGGTTTTGGACGGATATACTGTGGGCTATAGACATCTATACAATGGAAAGATAAACTAGAAATACTGGAGGTTAGATGCAGTGCAGGTAGATTGCCCGTAGTGCAGATAAATCATATGGATTAAAGTGAGCAGGCGGGCGTAGATAAATTAAATATAGTAGGAATAGAGGCATCTTTGTAGCTAGACAGCAGGAAGGACGTGTGTGAGTGCGTGTATGTGCACGTATCTCAGTTTAACACTCTCCTGCTTTTTCCTCCACAGTGACTCAGTTACAGACAACTTTAGCAGCTGTCCAGGAACTGCTAATCCAGCAACAACAGAAAATCCAAGAGCTTACCCAAGAACTGGCTGCTTCTAAGGTATCCAATTCCAACTATTCATCTTTAGAACATCACTGTCTTCTTTGGAACATGCATGGCTTCTTTGTGGGCATATGGAAAGCACCTTGTTAGATTCACAATCCAGCCTTCAGCTCTGTCATATCTCCAGCCAATTTTTCTGCATCTGACTTCTCCCTAGGTTGTCTGTTTAAGGCGTTGGATATTAATTGCATTACTCAATGAAATATATCTGACTTCTGAGAGGGCTTTGCTGTGTAACTTTATATGCAGCCTATGTGTCTGAGGCCTCAGACCTGTTCTCAGCTCTGTGTCTTCTGCACTGCCTTTGAGATTAAATAATTGTGCTGTAGTCCACTGACCAAAAGAGGTAAAGGCCAGTTGCGCAGAGGTTATATTTGTGTGTAATATGTAATTTTGCATGTTTATATTTCTCCTCTACCATTGTACATTTTCAAAACAATGACTTAATCCTGTTCAGCCAAGCACATATATGAGGTACCGTGTTTGAGTCACTTGTTCAGATCCAGGCCAGGTAATGGCCAAACATTCTTACTCTTTGGTTCCTTGTTTCAATGATCTTGGTCATCTCAGTGTTAACTGGTGGCCCCATCACAGCCACCTTAGTGACGCACTGTGGCCCGTAGAATCATAGAATGGTTAGAGTTGGAAGGGACCTTAAAGATCAAAGGGATCTTTAAAGGATCCGTTTGAAGGATCCTTTAAAGGATTAAGGGACCTTAAAGACCATTCCCCTTGACTCCTGAGGACCCTAGCAATAAAACCATCAGTTCTGACTAGTTTGTATTGTTACATGTGTAACTACAAGTAACTACTTTTAACCAAAATTGATTTTCTTTCTGGCAATGAGAATTAGTGCTTTTCATCTCCAAAGTACTTTGCAGACATTGGCCTAAGCATTCTATCAGCCAGTAAGTGTTGGTTACACCTGAGGTGGGATGGATTCGAACCAGTCACATAGAGATGAAGTCTTCCTTTCACTCACAAACTTGTGATTATTCACGGTCCAGTCATCTTGCAGTATTCTCTGTACAGGGAGAGATTTTTCTTGTTGATGTGAAATTCCTTAGACAATGCTGACAGTCTTTTATCTACATGATAAAACAGTTGTCTTCTCCCCTTACCTATACTTTAATCTCGTACAAACCTTTGATGGTGTGTAACTGGTGGACCACAGCTGACTGTGTGGTGTGCACACTGTACAGTAGGAATCCCTCAGTGGCACAGCTGTAAACCAAACCATGAAAGCCAGTTTATGGTCACAACACTCTACTTCAATTTTCCTTGGGAACTGTGGCCTGTCAGTGGCCTGGAGCCAGTCCGGAAATTGGAAAACTGTTTTCAGGTCTTAAGTGTTAAGATTAAGACCACATGTTGAGCTTTAAGAAGGAAAAAGGGCATAAGAGCCTTGGTGGTTTAGAGAGTCTTGAAGAAGTTTTTCCTCCCCTCTCTCTACCCCCTGCACTGAAATGGTAGCACACATTGTTATGATATCTAAACCTCATGTGTACAAAGAAAAACTTGGGCAACCCCACAAACCAGAGAATAAAAGCTGTGTTTTCTCAGCTGTAATGTAAGTTTTTATATCTGCTTTTCAAACTCCTACTGGCATGCTGTAAAAAATTAAAAAGAGTGACTTTAAGTAATTAAAAAACATACATAAAAATTCAAGGCTTGAATTTTCTACAACTGTTTTTTAAAGAGACTGGCTAAAAAGCCCCAGATGTCAGATTTTATTTCTAAATCCTAGGCATCTGGCACCATATGTGTTTTGGAAATCTGAGTCCTTTGCAGGCCAGTGAGTGGAAATCACTCCCTTGTTAATGTGCTGCTGTAACTTTCAAGGTCTTGGAAAGCCAGAACAGTGGCTCCTGGATTCTTGCTGTCTGAGGGCTGGGAGTGTGAATCCCAAGGGAACGCATCTGTGTATATCACAGCTACTACAGGCTGAGCCTCTCCCAGCTCACTGGGTTCACAGCCCAGAAGTCACTGTGACGAGTGCTGGCTGTGAAGGTGTTCAGGGTTACTCAGCACTAGCTGAAGTCAGTCTGAAAAATAATAACAACCCGTTCTGGCTGCGTCTAGTAGGAACTGCTGAGGAGGAGTTTTGTGTTATTCCAGTTTGGCTTCCTTTGTAAGGGGATTTATTAGGAGTATCTCTGGAGGGATGCTGACAAGTTGGTTCATTCCTAATGGCTTTTAGCAGAAATTACTGTGGGAAATGCTAGACATGAGTGTTCTCTGGTCCCATACTCAGCCCATCGCTACAGGAGTTGCTAGAGTGATACGATGGGGTGACCATAGGCCATGATCTCTCTTTCAGAATGTTCCTGCCATTTCTCAGGTTCCCAAAAGGGTTAAAAGAAAGATTGCCAAAAGTTCTCCTTAGTTGTTACCTTACTCTAATTTCTCCTATAGCAATTCTGATGCAGTGCCAACAGCAGCTGGACAGGCTTCCATGAGTTACTGATCATCTTTCCCCACCAAGCTGCATTCATTGCCTTGAAATATCCAAGAGACAGTGCCGAGTCCAGCTGCTTCCTGGAGATACAATCCAGTAACTCAAGCATAGCTCTAATTCTTCAGATCTAGTACGGAAAATGTTTGCAATTTTCCAGGACTGATTTATCAGCCCACCTCTAAACACCACAAGAGCGTAGATAACCTATGGTTTATTTCATGATTTAGGAGAAATGAACAAATGGTTTTAAAATAGTTGTTAATACATAATACTTGAATCTGTTGCTTCAGCTAAGCGCAGTCACAAGAAGGAGTAAAGAACCTGATTCAGTGCAACTCCCTCTGCCTTTCAGAATCCTAGTTCTAGTTCTCCTTCTCTAGAAGTCATTCATTAGGTCAGTGTCAAATGACTTAGTTTACCTCTTTGTGTATTGTTCTCTGTTTGATATGTTGGTGGAAGCCATCCTATGTAGACCTAGCTTTGTGTTGGCCTCCTTATCAAAAAAAGAAAGATCCCCTTGAGATGCTTCAGCAATGGCTGTGCATGGTGTGTTGGAGGCAAGGTTAATTAGTCCCCCAAATGGAAAGCAATATTTGAATAGTCTTAGCACCTTGAGACAATTATTATGTCTGATCGTTGCGGGGATCCATTCAGGTCCTTTTTTTATTGTGGAAGTTGTTTTGCGCAGATCTGAGATATTTTAAATGATAGAACTTATGTATGTTATCCTCAGGGCTCCAGATTCCCAGATGGAAGGAGAAGGAGGATAATGTAGAAAAAAGTTACGTTTGTGAACTATCTCCCAATTCATACCTTGATCTTTATGTCTTCTTTTTCACATTCCAGGCCACAACTTCCACCAACTGGATTCTGGAGTCACAGAATATTAATGAATTGAAATCTGAGATCTACTCGTTAAAAGGACTTCTCCTGAACCGGTATGGATGGAATATGTGAGCAGATTATTGTGTGGGGAAAGGGATGCCTTCTGGGATTCTCTCAGTCATGGAGAGGAAAGGCATTTCCAACAGGAACTAGCTCTATATCCTGTTACTGCTATTTTAATAACACCGCTTTGCACTCCACTATCACTTTCTATTTGCAGGTCTCAAAATGCTTTTCAAGCTTGCCTTAAATCACAGAGCGTTTTGGGTAATTAATAAGATTTTTCCTTATTGTTTACGATAGAGGAATTCTCTGCCATTCACCACAGTCAGGATGCCTCTCACCTCGTTTGAGGTATTGACTGTATGTGCACCTGCATCGTTACAGAGAGTCACTTCTGGGTACAGTTCAGCTGCTCTGTTCATGGGTAGGTCATAACCAGGATTAAAAGAATGGCACTTCAGCAGAGCCTGTTTCTCTCCATTAGCTAGCTCAGGTGCACACATCTTGTAACGCAGTAGATGTCTGAAATGAGGTGATATAAATCGCAGCCTGTGGGACAGTCGTAAGAACAGAGATCAGACCTCAGTTCTTGAGGAAATTCTTTTTTTCTAAGTGCATTGCTTAGATAGCTTTTCAGCTATTGATCCTTTCACTCTCACTCCCTTGCCGCCTTCTACGTGGAACTAAGTCTTATCAAGTCATCTGTTTCCTAAGAGATGGACTTCAAAGATCAGTGTAAGATTGGACTAGACATGTTCTGGATCTCGGCAAGTGGGCTTTTCAGAAGTCTGAAAAGTGTATTGTCTTTAATATCCTTTTAAATTCTCTCTACACCTTCCATTCCTCCCAGGAGTCACAGTAGAAAGCTCTGGAGGATTGAGGACACATATGACGTTACTGTCTGTTAAGTTGGGTTGTACTAGGGTCGCTGCTGGGGAGAGAGCATTACTTAATGACACCTCTTCAGCAATGGAAAAGTTGCAGCTAGGGGATGAGTGTGTCTTGGAAAAAAGAAAACTTTTTGGGGGGTTGTTTTTTAACAAAAAGCCCAATGTTTCTGCAATGAGGAGGCAGCAGCAACACCAGAGCCAAGAAATGTTGTTGGAAGTTTATGATACTGGTTGAATAATGCAGACATTGGCTTACTGCACTCACAGGAGATGGAGGTTAGATCAGCAGAGGTTCTTTGCTGGCTGGTGGTGTCAGCAGGACAAGAGAAGTGAGAGCAACTACTGTTCCTAGTTCAGTGTAAGAAAATGTAACCTGCTGTGTTTGAGTGCTCACTGTAGGAGAGCAGCCAGCTTTTATCTGCTCTGGTCTTGTCTGTGGCACTAGCCAGCTCACCTGAGGGGCATGAGGACTCCCTGCCACGCAGCATCCATTTCAGAGCTTGATCTGATACCTCTTCATACTCCCACTTTTCACATACACAGGCACAGATGCATGGGGAGTACTAGATCAGACATGCTTTTTGCTTTGCTCTTCCTGATGGATGACTTTCTGAGGGCACCAGTGCTCCCCACTGCACTTGTCCTTGTCCTGTTTGGTACTTGGGCATTAGCCAGCCACTATCAAATCCTTAAAGCGCACCTGGAAAGGACTCGAGGACAGAGCAGCCAGCTTTCTCAGCTGGTGCAAGTTAGTATGATTCCATTCAAGTCAGAGAAGCTGAACCAGTTTGCCGCAGCCAGGACCTGGCCCAAACATGTAAAGTGCATGCTGGGACTAGGAGATAGGCTCTGGACTGTAATGAGCCAGAATGCAATAGCTGTGTATCACAGTGGAGGTGAGAGCCAGGTGGTGTAATTCCTTGGCTCAGGCACAAGGACCCAGTGTGTCTTGACTTCTTGCTCCACTGGGAATTTTCTTTACCAATTGATTACTGATTGTTTTATAAAGGGACACCCATGTCTTTCCACAGGCAGCATTCCTGAGTGCTAGCTTACTCTGTGAAATTGGCCAAACCAGGTAATTTTAGTACTTCAGGTTGCCCAGCTGTAATATTTTCATTGGGTGCTTGTAAAGCACTTTGAGATTCTGGCTGAAGAAGTGAAGTGGCCTTAGTTTTGTTCATTTATGGCAAAGGAGACTTGCAGTTTCAGTCCTGCTTTTCAAATACGATTCTCTCCAATGATAAGCCCTCAGTGTTTTTAATAAAAGCCCCTTTCTCTCCTTTTCTTCCCCTCTTCCCCTCCCCCAAGGAGGCAGTTCCCTCCCTCCCCTTCGGCTCCTAAGATCCCTTCATGGCAGATCCCAGTGAAGCCAAGCTCACCCTCCAACCCTGTTGTTGCAAACCATAATAGCAGCAGTGACATCTCGCCTGTCAGCAATGAGTCTACCACCTCATCACCAGTCAAGGAGAACCACAGCCCTGAGGGTTCCAAGGTCAGCTGCCATCTGCTGAGCACAGAGGAGGGCAACCAGGCAGTGATCGACGTCAAGAGCCAAGTGCGGATGGAGGTGCAGGGTGAGGAGGAGAAAAGGGAAACCAAAAGGAACGAAGAGGAGGAAGAGGACGATGATGATGATGATGTTAGCCATGTGGATGAGGAGGAATGTTTGGGTGTCCAGACTGAGGACCGGCGAGGAGGGGATGGTCAGATTAATGAGCAAGTGGAAAAGCTACGAAGACCTGAGGGGGCCAGCAACGAGAATGAGATTGACTAAAGCACCCTGGCTTCTACTGCTGCTGCTGTACATCTTCCCTAGCCTCCTGCACTGTCCCCGGTGCCTCTCCCATTTTGTGGAGAGAAGTGCCACCATCCCCTCCAGTGATTCTCCCATGACTGACCTTGAGAAGGGTCATGATTGCCTAGTGAGCAAGGTGGGCCCTCTTTCACCACAGGGCTTTGCAGCGTTGCAGTGGCTTTTTCTCCCCTCCCAGACCCACGTTCTCCCCATGAGCTGGGGTCACTGCCTAGGCTGGAAGACCAATCGCCTTACCATACACCACAACTCTTACAAAACACCATCTTTCCTGAAACAGCCTCTTTGCTGCATCCTAGAATCCTTCTATCCAATTTGAGAAACAAATCTGTCCTGAGTTCTTTGATTTCACAAGCCTTTAATCCCCACGTAAGGCCCAAACCAGTTCTCCGTTTCCCAAAATAACCCTCTATTTTATTTCTCAAACTACTTGATATTCTGTTGCCAAAAAAAAGAACGTTTTAACCCTGAATTCCTCACCAGATCTCAGTCTTGGCTCTTCCAAGCCTTATGTCAAGCCTCAAACTCCTGAAACTACCTAGCATCTAGAAACACTAAATTTCTGTGGGGTCCAAAGAACACTATTTCCACGCCACATGCTGACATCAAAGTGGCCTCTTGCTAGGGACCAAGTCCAGGTTTCATGGCCACGGTAAAATCCATGAGAACAGGTGGCTTTGTTACTGATTGCTCCCCAGTAAAAGAAGGCTTTAAAAGAAGTTGACCCCACTCATCCCAGTTATTACCCTTCCTCCTACAAAGACAAGAAGCTCACCTCGCATTTTGACATCTTACATTTTATTTATAGCTGCCCTGAATCAATGAATGAATGAGGTGAATTCAGATGCTGAAACAGTTGGTTAATTCTGAATCTTTGCAATGGTTCTTAGCCTGTTTTTCTCCCTAAATGACGAGAAAACATCTTAAATGATCAGCTGAGACCTGCACCTACCCAGTGACAGGCACCTGCAGCCTTTACAGAAGAGAGAACAGTTCCAGCTCTGAGGTACACCACTGGCCCTTCTTGCCCAGTCCAGCCTTTTTTTTTTTTGCCCCATTGGGGCTATACACAAATTAATCCAGTGAATTTTGAAACCTCATTTGCAGCATTGTGTTCTCAGCTGGTAAAATGGTGGTGTCCAATGATATTATTCACTGCATCAGAGCCTCTTAGCAGAGCAATTCTTGTAACAACTGAGTCTCACTGTCCTCACCAAGCAAGTGTGCTTGTCTGTGTGATCATGTATAGATTTCAAATATAAAATACGATTGTATATAATTGTAATAAATATGAGTTACCACTATTTAACACCAGGCTGTTACTGGATTACTGTGGCTCTTATTTTGGGGAGAAATATGCATGCAGGGTGGTAAAGGGGGGGGAAAGGGACTGTTACAGAAATTTAGTCCTCCTGAAATGTTTTCTGGAGGCCGTTTAGGGTTGATTTTCTGGTTGCTCCAATATATCAGCAGGAGGCAGGGTAGGGAACGGTGCAAGTGCAACACGAGGTATGCTATAAACAGCTCCAACAGCACTGTAATGCTCTGTTGCCTCCGATGTTGCGGAGGGTGAGATGGGTGTATCCTCCCGCGAGTACAATGCCAGCCATTCCATTTCCTTGGCTCCCAGCAGGAGGCTCTGCAGGGTGCAGAATGCAGCATCCCGCTCCTTTCCAGCCCCGGCAGCAGGAGGTGCTGAAGGGAGAGGGTGAGATATCCCACGGCCCCTTGCTCTTATCTGCCAGCAGGGAATGCTGTGCCGTATCCCATGACTGCTCTGGCCCTGCCATGTCAGTGCAGAGGCCATCGGAAGAAGCGTTCCGGCGTACAGCAAGTGATTGGGAGCTACCGCAGTCCCATCCTTGCTCAACAGAAGAGTTTGGCTCCCTTCTTAAAAATGAGGGATTTACTTGATTCCTGAGTATTTGGGTGTCTGGTACACAGTGACATTTTCCTGCTCAGGGGGAGCGAAAGGGACCTTCATATTACTGTATTTAGACCTGCTGCTGAATGTGATGATTTCTCATTCCTTAAATGGACGAATATCTTCCCCAGGAGTGAGTGAGAGTGTGTGTGTCTCTCTCTCCCTCTCTCCCTCTCCACTGTTTAACGTTCACAAAGAACGTCACGTTTAGCTAAAACAGGGCAAATTTGAAAGTGTTTAAAAGGAAAGGCTTTTCTTAAGAGATGGCACTTCTCATTTCTCCAAGCCAAGAATCCTTGTGAAAAGAAAACACGACTGAATGCAGGGATGTGATGAAAAAGTATTGTCCTGCCTGTGTACATTTTATATACATAGAAGGTTTTGAAAATAGAAAGTGCCTGGACAACAGCAGTTGGTGAAATGTGGAAAATATGTTGCTGAGGTATGTGCCTCGCAGAGTGACTTACGAGGTTTACAGTGCAAGCATCCCTGCGGGTTCATTTTTCCCCCCTTTCCCTCCATGTTGCCAGTGTTCAGTTCATTTACCTCGAGATTTCTGGTGCAGAGTTAAAGACAGTTTTCTTCAGCTGCCCTTTTCCCTCCCTTCGTTTTTGCTTTTTACAACCTTTACCAATTCAATAGGTCACGGTTTTTCCTTTCCCCAAGCTGATGAATCCCAGAAAACTCCATCATAGCTGCTGTTGCTCACAAAATCTAACTCTGGGCCTCTGACTGCTGCTGGGGTGTTTGTGTACTTTGTTGAAGAGATCCAACCCACCAGCAGAGAATTTGGAAGAAGCCAGACCTTCCTACCAGCAGGTATTGTCATGAATCATGAGTTTTATTCCTCTGTCTCATGTTCCTTGTCTTTCCAGCATAGTTACAGTTGTAGGGTAAGTATTTTGCTCCTTAATGAACCGTGTAGCCTGACTGCTAACTTGTAATTGTTTTTCTTTTTCTTTTTTTTTTTTTTGCTAGAAACAAACTTCTTAGATCAGCTGCCCTGTGAAATGATTAGCCCACTGGCCAGTAGGCACTGAGAATGGCATCATATTAGCTGAAAGATGACCAGGTAGTGAACCTTTTTTCTGCAGAACAAGACAGACAGCAGCAGCAGTTACCCACCATCTGGCTTGTTCAAGCACTCTGGTTTACTGTGTCATCAGCCTTTGTTTTGACACAGGAAGAAGAATAACAGCAGCCCGGTTGGTGAGTTCAGTGGGTTCGTGACATGGGTTCTATAGGTCCCTGAGAGCATACAGAAAGCGGGTGAAGGGAGCTCCCTCTGAACACTGTCATTTGAGCACGTTGCAGTGAAAACCCGTGAGCCTGTGCTCTCTCTCCTCGAGGAAATGGTATCAGGCTGCTTTCCACTAACTTGAGGTTAGGAAAGTTCCCTTTTCAATAGGTGCAAGGGAAACGTGGGGAACTCAAAATATGTGACAAAGTGGGAAAGGGTTAAGAGAGATGATGTCTCCTGATCATCTTTGTCCAGCCTTCCTCACCTCCAGGTGTTACAAATAAGTCCTATGTGCTTTTTTTCTTTATTGCCTTTGTGTGTTGGGGGTGTAACCTAACAGTGGGATCAGAAGAAAGAGGATGGACTGTAGGATCCCTTGTGATCTTGCTGCTTTCCTGCATAACGCTTTGCAAAGTATTTTACTTCTAAGTGTGCCTCAGTTTCCACATGTGATGGTAAAAAATACTGGCTGGTAAATACAAAGATGTGACAAAGACAAGTTGCAGAGAAAGTCAACTTTGGGAAGCAGATTTCATGCTGGGTCCTGCAGCTGGCACAAAACGCCCAGCCCCCATGAACTGCTGTGCCCTGGAGCGAGCCCCCCAGCCCCCGCTGCTGGCTGTGCTTTGGGTGAGGGCAAAGCTGCCCAGCTGCAGCCACTGTTCCCTAACAGCCTGGGCTGCACAGCTGGGGTAGACGAGCTGCCCTGTCCTCCAGGAGCAGCCTGCCTTGGTCAGCCAGCTTGCCCTGCTTGGAGACGGATGGCTTAGACTTGGCTTTTGCTTTCTGCAACTCAGGTTCTTCTGGCAAGTAAGTGCTTTTTAATAACTATGTTCTCTCTTGCTTTTGTCATCAGGAGTGGGGGAACTGGCTGCGTTTCCAGTGGCTGCCTCACCCTGGTCTGGGGTTTGTTAGCAGGGTTGCCAGAGGGTCTATCCTGATGCATACTGGTGGAAGGAAGCGTGATATATTCTGGGCTGCTGCCTGGGGCAGGGAAGGTGCTGTAGGAAAACCCAGTCTGTGTCTACTGGGTTGCTTTCATTTGCAGTGCCTGCTACAGAAACGGAGGCTGCCTTTGCTTTTCCTTTGGTGAGGCAGTGTCATGCTTGGGAAAAACAAAGGCTAGACAGCAGGTTCAGAGTAGCTTTTTGTTGCAAACCTGTTGTGTTAAAAATTAAGGTCTCCCTGCTTGACTAGACCCTCCACACCCAGCAGGTTGTGGAGCACGTAAGTGTTTCCCAAGGGCTTTGACAAGAGCTTTTCCAAGCTTTGGAAAGTCCCTTCTGTGTGGTGGTGCTTTATGTTAAGCGCAAATTGCATGTGGTGGTGACCCTGCACACCAAAAACTGATGTTAAGGTTGCGCTGAGAGTCTTCCAGCTTGTAGTATGCAGGTGCAAAGTGAGAGAGGGGCTTGGCCTCCAGGGATTGAAAACATAAATAAAGGGATGCTGAGAGGTGAAATGTTGGAAATTATTTACCTAAGGGCACAGGAGAGAGCTTCTAGCTTTCTTCATTTTCCCTTTTATTGTCTTATTCCCAGACTATGCTGCTTCCTCAGGAGTCAGCCTCTGTAGGCATCTTTAAAGCTGTGTCCACCTATTGTGCTGATGAAAGGCTGGCTCTTCCCACTATGTACACTCCCAAAAAATTAAATAAAATAATGGAAATGTACTAAGGTGAGTTTTGGGGTATCAAGGAAAAGGGAGGGCAGGGCCCAACTCCTCCATTTGCTGTGCAGCAGAAGCTCTGAACTGTGCACTTGCAGATTGAGGGGCTGGCATGGTCTCTCCCAGCTCAGGGAAAAAAACAATCCCATCCCCAAAAGGGAGCAAGCACTAACCTAATAAAGGCACCAGCTGGACGAAGGGAAAACCAGCTCTTTGGAAAAAAAAAAAACCAACCACAACCTCCTTTCATTAGAAAAATAATATATTTCATCCAAATAAGGTAAAAATATTTGAAATGGGGCAGAAGTGAGCACTAGGCAGCATCTGTCAGGCCCTTTCTGAAAAGGAGAAGATTATTAAACTCAATTACAATTTATTTTTGTAAAGTGTCTTTCAGACTAAAAATCTCCCCAAATGCTTTGCAAGGACTGCTCAGGGTTACTTACAAGATGGAGCATCTTAGAACATCACCCCTGTTTTCCCACCAAGCCCTTTTCTGCATCTGCTGAAGGATTTAAACCTTCAGGATCTTTTT